GTTACACACCCTTGTTACACACCCTTGTTACACACCCTTGTTACACAACGGACAATTTAGCATGGCCAGTCCATCTAGTCTGCACATCTTTGGATTGCAGGAGGAAACCAGAGCACCCGGAGGAAACCTACACAGACACAGGGAGAACGTGCAAACTCCACACAGATGGTCACCCGAGACCGGAATCGAACCTGGGCCCCTGGTGCTGTGAGACAGCAGTGCTGCGAGACAGCAGTGCTGCCCTAAAATTGAATTCAAATTCTACCATCTGCTGTGGTGGGTATTGAACTTAGGTCCCCAGGGCATTACCTAGGTCTATGGATTAACAATCCAGCGATAACATCGCTAGGTTGTTTCCTCTTCTGATTGTAGTGTCCTGACCTCTGGCCTAGAAGCCCCCTCTCATGTCTTGATAGTCACAGAAGTAAGTGCGGTCACATATGTCGTAGAATTGACAAATGCGACTCTAGAGCAGTAGGCCATTTAGTTTTTCATTGCTTTGTTGGATCTTTGAAAATGCACTTGTATTTGGTCCTGTATCTCTTTTCATCTGTAACACTAAATTTTCAACCTTCAGGTCTAATTCCCTTTTAACACAATTTATGTAGTCAGTTTTCACCACCTTTTCAGCTACAGCATTCCAGATCCTTACTCTCTGTGGGGAAAAAAAAATCGCTCATTTTAAAAGCACATGCACAGTCACTAGAAGTAACTGTCTGATTCGGTTCGTTATAACAGGCACACAGTCTTGTTTATTATTAACACAAATCTAGCGCATTGTTTCTTCACAGTTCTTTAATCCACACAATTTATAGCTAATGATGTGTGTTTGGGGAGTGGGGTAGCGGTAATATAACTAAACTAATAATCTAGAGCCCTAGGCTAATGTCGTGGACAAGGTTTCACGTTCAAACGTGGCAGATGTTGAATTCAGAAATTCTAGAATAAATAACTACTCGTCATAAAAAAACCACCTAGTTCACTAATGTCATTCAGGGAGGGAAATCTGCTGTTCTTAAGTGCTCTGGCCCACATGTTAATGCAGAGCCACAACTTGACTCTTAACTGCTTTCTGACGATAAATGCTGGGCCTAGCCAACAATGTCCACAATCCATGAACAAATAACAAAATGGAGTGTCATAATGCAGCCAAATACGTTGATTATAGACCTGTAAGCCTTTGTGATATGCTTATTGCAGGCAGTAAAAGCAGGAGAGTTTCCTACTCAGTCAGAACTGTATGTGGTAGATGCAGTGAAACAACCTTTTTACATAAGAGACTCCAAGTACAGGTCCTTTTCATGAACAAGCCTTGTTCTGAGGGGTTATTCCCCCCATCCCCCAATATATACACACTCTTTCTCTCACTCCCCCAAAGACCCCTTAACCATTAGCCCTGACCTCTCCTGTTTAGCTCCTACCTCTAACGCTGTACTATTCTGGTGTTCCATGCTATGCTAGAATTGATAGCTAGAATCAGACCACATTTTTTTTTGTCTTATTTATCCAGAGAATGGGGCATTGCTGGCTGGGCCAACATTTGACCGCTAATCCCTAATTGCCTTGGAGTTGGTGTTGGTGAAGCTGTCTTTTGATCCACTGCAGTCCCTGGGGGCACTTTCAGCACTGTTAAGAAGGCAGTTTTAACCCAGCGTCAGTGAAGGAATGGTAGTATAGTTCCCATGTATCTGCTGCCTTTGCCCTTCTAAGTAGTAGAGGTCTTGGTTTGGAAGTCAAACTGTGGTTTCTATAGTCATTGCAGCTCCTGTTCCCCATGGTGGTGTGTATGTGTGTATATTTGCGTTCAGAATATAGTTCCTATCCCTCAGCATGTGTGTATATTTACAGTCAGACTGCTGCACCTGTTCCTAGGAGTTTATTAACAGTCAGCCTGTAGTTCCTGTACCTCAGGTTGACCATAAGACGTAGTAGGCCATTCAGCCCATCAGTTCTGCTCTGCCATTCATGACTGATATGATAAAAACCGAAAGAACTGCGGATGCTGTAAATCAGGAACAAAAACAAGGTTGCTGGAAAAGCCCATCAGGTCTGGCAGCATCTGTGAAGGAAAAAACGGAGTTAACGTTTCGGGTCCGGTGACCCTTCCCCGGAACTCCACTTTCCTGCCCATTCCCTATAACGCTTGATTCCCTTACTGATTAAAAATCTGTCTACTTTAGTCATGAATATACTTAACAACTCATCCTCAACAGCCATAAGCAGGAAAGATTTCCACTGATACACTTCCCCAGTGGTTAGCACTGCTGCCTCACGTTATCAGGGACCCGGGTTCAATTCCACCTGGGGCGACTTTCTGTGTGGAGTTTGCACATGCTCCCCATGTCTGCCTCCCACAGTCCAAGGATGTGCAGGTTAGGTGGATTGGCTATGCTAAATTTGCCCGTACTGTGTAGGGTGGGAAATGTAGGGATAGGGTAAGGCATGGGTCTGGGTTCAGGTGAGGGTTGGTGTGGAGTCAATGGGCTGAATGGCCTCCTTCCACAGTGTAGGGATTCTATGAAATGGGCATCCCCTTACTCTGAGATTATACCCTCTGATCCTGGACTCTCCCACAAGGGGAAGCAATCTTTCCACATCTACCCTGTCAAGTTCTCTCAGAATCTTGTTTCAATAATGTTTCAATAAGGTCACTCCTCAATTTTCTAAACTCCAATTAGTACTGGTCCAATCTACTCAACCTTTTCTCATAGAAAATCTCTCTACATCCAGGATCGACTCAGTGAACTTTCTTTGGATTGCCTCCAATATCAGTCTATCTCTCCTTCGATAAGGAGACCAAACTGTTTATAGTACTCAGCTGTGGTCTAACTAGTACCTTGTATAGTTTTAACAAGACTTCCCTTCTATGCATCATTTTTGTTTGTAAAAAAGGCAAACATTGCATGTGCCTTCCTATTCCCTGCTGAACATGGATGCTAATCTTTTCTGATTAATGAATGAGGATCCCCAAATCCTTTTGTGCTGCAGCCTTTTGCACTCTTTCTCCATTTGTGTGTGCGCGCACGCGTGTGTGTGTGTATATACAGCTATGCATCTAACAGGCATTTATTCTCATTTATGTAACTCTTGTAACCTTTGCTCTCTTTCCTTTCCTGTAGGTTATCAGGCCACCATTAGCGCACCTCACATGGTAAGTGATGTGCAGTTTGTATTACTGTGTGCTGACTGAGGCTGATTTGCTAACTGTGTTTTTAAAATGATTTGCAAAAGAGAGGTAAAGGTGATGTGAGGAGAAAAGCTTTCTCAAACAGGAAGCACTTAGAGTACAGAATGTTTGGACTGGAAACATGATAGAGACAGGTTCAATTAAGGCAGTCAAAGGCAATGGGTGGTTACTTGGATAGAAATTGTGTGCAGTGGTATGGGGCAAAAGCAAGAGATTGGCATAAAGTGCCAGGCAATGACAACTGCCAACTAGTTATTGCTGTTTGACTGTCAGTGTCATTAGCATAGCTAAATTCTTCGCGATCAACATCATGAGGGTTACCATTGACCAGAAACTGAATGGTGGAGCCATATGAATATTGTGGCTACAGAATAGATCATAAATTGGGAATCCTGCATCAAGTAGCTCATTTCTTGACCCACCACAGCCTGTCCACCAACTGCAAGTCAGAAGTGTACGGAATGCTCTTCACTATCGTGGAGGAATGCACCTCGAGCAACACAAGAAACTCAGTACCCTCCAGGACAAAGCAGCTTGCTTGATTGGCACCCATCCACCATCTTCACCCTTCACTGCTTTACCTATGGCATACACTTACAGCAGTGTGTGCAATGTTCAAGATGAACTGCAGCATCTCACACAGCTCTTTTGGCAATGGCACCATCCAAATCCACAACCACTTCTATTTAGAAGGGCAGCAGATACATGGGAATATCACCTCCTACAAGTTTGCTTCCAAGTCTCTTACCATCCTGACTTGGAAATATGTTACCTTTCCTTCAGTGTTACTAGGTTAAAATCCAGCTACTTCTCCAACAGCAGTGTTGGCATAACCACAGCGGTAAAAGAATGTACCACTACTACCTTATAAAGGATGGCCAATAACACCCACATCCCATGGAAGAATAAGGAAAAACACATACTATATGTAGAAAGGAATTTTTTCTACACACGGTCAGTAAGGAGTATGGCCAACGTGAAGAAGACCATCTGAATGAGACAAAGGCCCAACGAGTGAACTAGAAACTTGGTTTGAGTAGGAATTTGGTGCAAATGGGACTAAAGGTGCTTTAACTAGTGTTTACTCCAAGAAGTGAACTCTCTCAAGAGCGAGGTGAGTGGAAGAGGGTAAAAGGTGTATATTGAGAGTCTGACCTGCAATAAGACCAGTGGCACTGTGTGGCATGCATGCAGGGAAAGAAGCAGGTTGGTGTTTGAGACTAGTGAACGTTTCTGGTCTTTCAGCTTAAATATCTGGTCTCCACTTTGCATCTAGGTCTCCAGTTACTGCTGTGTCTTTTCTTAAAAATAGCTGCTGATGAAAAAGATTGATACTGTTTAAGGAAAGATATCATTATGGTAAATTGTAAAGAGCAGGTAATCAGCAATTAATTTGTGAATTAAATCAAATACAACAGGACGGCAGGATAAATGATTATTGCTGCTGGACACCAGTGTGATTCAGAACAAACACGTCTGTAGTCAGTGTTTCCAGCTCGAGGAACTTTGGATCCGAATTGTGAAGCTGAAGTTTGAACTGCAGACATTGTACCACAATGGAAGGGGAAAGTTAGGTGGACACCTCGATTCTGAGGTGGGGTCACGCCAGGTAATTTAAAATTGGTCTGTGAGCAGGGACAGGAGGGTGTGACTGCTGGTGAGGAAGGCATAAGGACACCAGCTTCATCTCCTGAAATTGTCCAACAGTTATGTGGTTCTTGCAAACTGTGCAGACAAAAGTGGGGGCTGCTGGGAGGATGAACAAACTGACCATGGCACCTTGGTGCAGGAGGACATTAAAGTGGGGGAGGAAATAGGAATGTAATTAATGATAGGGAACAGTATAATGAAGGGAATAGATACCCATCTGTTCAGCAGGGAACAAGATTCCCAAAGGATGTGTTGCACCCCTCCCCGTGTCAGGATTAAGGACATCTTCCTGAGGCTGGAGAAGAACTTAGAGGGAAGGGAGGGATCCGGTAGTTATCATCCACATGTGTACCAAAGACATTGGTAGGCTTAGAAATGAAACATTTTAAACAGGAGGTAAATTAAAACGCAGAATTTACAGTGTAATAATTTATGGATTCCTATCTGAGCCACAGGCAGACTGGCATAGGGTAAATAAAGCCAAGGAGTTAAATATGTGCCTCAAATGTTAGTATGGGTGCAATGGCTTTCAGTTCATGGGGCACTGGCAGCAGTACTGGAGTAGAATGGAGCTGTTCCGATCAGATGGGCTTCATTTGAATTGTGCTGGGATCAGAGTCCTATTGAGTTGAATAACTAGGGCTGTAGAGAGGGCTTTAATGTAATTAATTAGAGGGGTAGGGTTTGAGAGAAGGGAAATTTGAGCTTACAAATCAAAAGGATCTGGCAGCATTACAGAGCAGCTATTTGGATAACGATAGCCATAACGGGACTGGAAGGGACAGAGTGTAGGCCCCCAAACAGTAGCTGTATGGTGGTGTCAGGAACAAATCAGGAGATACTGAGAGCTGGAGAAAAGGCAGAACATTAATCCTGGTGACTTCAGTCTTCATGTAGTTTGAGATGGTCAGACGGGCAGAGGTAGCCACGAGGAAGAATGTGTGAAGTGTATTCAGGACAGTTTCTTGGAACAATATGTTGTAGATTCAGCTAGGGATCACATTATGTTGAATCTGATGATGAGTATGATATTAGGAGGAATTCTACAAGTTGCAGTGATGGGATTTAAACTCATGTCCTCATAACGTTAACTTGGACCTCTGGAATGCAAGTCCAGTAACATCACCACCTTTCTCCAGACTTCCATCTTGATTCCTGTCCTGCACCATGTCTCACCAACCCTCTGTGATGTGCAGGAGTACTGAATGGTATGTCTGACTGCCTTTCCAGATGGACACTGGTGTCAGGAAGCCAGGGAATTAGTCTGGATGGCCTTTGAATATTTAATGTGTGGTTGTGTTTTCTGAAGGAGAATGATGATGTGTGGGGGGGATTAGCCAACAGTTCAGTTGCCTAAGCCAGGATGTGCCATCAGCGTGTGCAGTCACTGAGCAGTTACAGAACTTGCCTGTTTGCTGCAGGCTGACCTATAATACATAATACAACATCAACCTGTCATTGAGAGTGGCTGTAAAGGTCACGTCCCAAGACATGGACAGTACTCTTTCTATTCTTTTGAATTGAAAGTAAGCTGAATGTGAAGCTCCCTTGAAACTGCCCCAATCAAATACTCCTAGGACAGGGACGGCATGGGATTAGATACAGAGTAAAGATTTCCCTACTCTTTTAAACTGAAAGTAAAGTTCCCTTGACACTGTTGCCATCAAATGCTTTCAAGACAGGGACAACACGGGGTTAAATACAGAGTAAAGTACCCTCCACTCCTTTAAACTGAAAGTAAAGCTGTCTCTACTCTTTTAAAACAGGAAATGAAGTTCCCTTGACATCTCCATCGAATACTCACAGGACATAGACGGCACAGGGTTAGATACAGAGTATTCTCTCTACACTGTCCCTGTCAAACATTTCCACGTCAGGTACAGCAATGGTTTAGATGCAAAATAAAGCTCCCTGTACACTGTCTCCATCAAACTCTCCCAGGATCGGTACAGTACAGGGTTAGATACATAGCAAAACTCACTCTGCACTGCCCCCATCAAAAGCTGAACGGTAGGTATAGCACAGGGTAAGAAAGAGAATAAAGCTCCACTAGTCTTTTAAACAGAAAGCAATGCTTCCTTTTATTTTGATAAACTGAAGGTAAAGTTTGCTGCACTGTCTCCATCAAACACTTGCAGAACAGGAACAGTGCTAGATTGGATACAGAGTAAATCTCACTTTACTTTTTAAACTGAAAGTGAATCTCCTTCAACAATATCCCCATCAAACATTCCCAGGACAGGGACAGCATGAGGTTAGATGCAAAATAAGATGCTGTGTATTCTTCTAAATAAAGAAGTAAAGCTCCTCAACATTTCCATTCAAACACTTTCAGGACCGGGATAGCAGGGGTGTTAGATGTACAGTAAAGCTCTCTCTGCTGTTTTAAACTGAAAGTAAACCTACTCAACCTTTTTACATTGAAAGTAAAGTTCCTTCTACTCTTTTGAACTAAAACTAAACTGAAAGTAAAGTTCCCTTGACACTGTCCCTATCAAACACTCCCAGGACAGGGTTAGATACTGAGTAAAGCTCCCTCTATTCTTTTAAACAGAAAGTAAAGCGGTCTCTACAGTATTCCCATCAAAAACTTCAGGAACAGTTCAGCACGGTATTACATTAAGAGTAAAGCTACCTCTACTCTTTTAAAATGGAAGTGTAGCTCCCCCCATTGTTTAAAGTGAACCTAAAGCTCAACTCTACACTGTCCCCATTAAACACTCCCAGCTTGGGCGTTGGATATAGAGTGAAGCTAGTTCTATGCTGTCCCAACCTGACAAGCTTCCCAATGCTGCATCAGTTGACGCTTTGAACCGTTCTGAGGTCTCTCTCTGTGAGAGATTAGGATGATCAGAATCATAGTCAGTGTTGATGAGGTGATAGGATACTGATGAGGACCCTGAATGGTGTGTTCTGGCTCTGTGCGTGGAGCTACGTCTCACCACCAGCCCACTGTCATTTGTTTTGGAGTTGTATTATTGTACCTTTGTAGCCCGGCTCAGCCAGTCTGCATTAAGCTTGTTGTTGAATTTCTTGAGTTTCTGTTTGTTCCCAGCACGCACATGCACTGGAATGTCTGAACAGCCATCTGTATGAAGGGGCTCGAGCTCTGGATGTGGGTTCTGGAAGTGGCTACCTGACTGCCTGCATGGCCAAAATGGTGAGTGAAAGGTGCAGGGTCAACGGACACACCGGGGAAGTAGCTGGGACCTATTGGAATTGTGGCCTTTCATACTGGGCTGAGAGCCTGCAAACTGTATAGGTTCAGCAGATACCAGCTGACAACCCTGTAAGCCACTCAGCATTTGGGTTTGGAAATATATGGCCATTCCTTCAGTGTTGTTGGGTCAAAGTCTTGGAGCTTGCTCTCGTACAGCACTAAAGGTGTAACGGTGCTGGGACTGCAGTGGTTAAGAAAAGGTGGATCCTGACCAATTGGGGATGGCAGCAAAATGCTGGCCCAGCCACATCCTGTGAGCTGGTCAGCAGCATGTGACATCACATGGGTGCTATTCACACAGGTCGAAGGGATGGTGGGAGGGGGGCATGGGGGACCGTTGGATCTGTGTTTATTACTACACACCCCTCCTGCTCTCCGTTCGCAGGTGGGAGCCACGGGGACAGTGGTCGGAATTGACCACATCCAGGAACTGGTGGAACAATCCGTTCGCAATGTGCAGTCGGATAATGCCACGTTGCTCAGCTCAGGCCGACTCACTCTGATTGGTACATGGGGCAGGGGGTGGTGGGTGTGTGCGCAATGCGTGGGAAACTGGAGGGAAATGGTGAAGAGAGAGAAAATGGCCCATTGAGTCTGTACTGCCAAAAATATACTGCTACCCACACTAGTCCTATTTTCCAGCAGTAAAGGAAAGCTTTACTCTATGTGGATCTCTAAGTCCACAGCCTTGAATGTTATGACAGTCCAAGTGCTCAGCCAAGTACTTTCTAAACATTGTGAGGTTTCCCACCTCAACTACCCTCCCAGGTAGTGAATTCCAGACCCCTACCAGCCTCTGAATGAAAACATTGTTCCCTCTAAACTTCCTACCTTTCAGATTAAAATTCTGCCCCCTTGTCATTGACTCTTCAACTAAGGGAAACAGCTGCTTTCTATTCATCCTATCCGTGCTCCTCATAATCTTATACATCTCTATCAGGTCTCCTTTTAACCTTCCCTGCTCCAATGAAAACAATGCAAGCTTATCCAGCCTCCCTTCATAGCTAAAGCACTCCAGGCTACCTCCTGGTGAATCTCCTCTGCATCCAATCTAGCACAGTCACATCCTTCTTGTAGTGTCGTGACCAGAAATGCACACAGTACTCCAGCCATGGCCTAGCCAAAGTCCTGCACAGATCCAGTATGACCTCCCTGCTCTGATTACAGTCTGTGCCATGGCTGATAAAGATATGCCATCCTCACCCCCTGATTAATCTGCCTTTGTGGACAAGCACCTTAAGATCCCTCTGTTTCTCTGAGCTTACGAGTGTCCTGCCATTCACTGAGTACTGCCTTGTCTTGTTCCGTCTTCCAAAGTGCATCATCTCACAGTAACCAGGGCTAAATTCCATTTGCCACTGACTTACCCAACTGACTATAATCTGTTTATATCCTCCTGTAACCTATGATCTTGTACCTCACTGGCCAACCTTTATCACAGCCGCAAACCTACTTAGCATTCTTGCACTTCCTTATGTACATCATGTATGAATATGACAAGCAATAAGGGATCCAGCACTGATCTCTGTGGTACACTACTGCGGACTGGGCTCCAGTCACATAAACAGCCTTCTACCACCACTCTCTGCCTCCTGTCACCCCAATTTTAGATCTAAAGGAGGGGAAAGGTGGAGTGATTGGAGGGAGGTGGTGTTGGGTGGTCTCACTTGGTGGGTAATGGTGGTACGTGCAGCAGGAGTGTGGAATGGGGAAGGAGTAGGGATGTTCCCCAGCTGAGAGTCGAGGTCCGATCAGAGATGGGGCAGGCGCTGCTGCCGTGAATCCGGTCCGGAGCAAAACCAGGAGCAGGTCCCGACACTCGCTCACTCACAAATCTTCTCTTGCAGCGGGAGATGGTCGCCGCGGTTACCCAGAAGGAGCGCCTTATGATGCCATTCACGTGGGTGCAGCTGCGGCTGTAGTTCCTCAGAGCGTAAGTGAGTCTCTGTTTCTAGAATCTTCTAAATCCTGCTTCAGAGATCCTCACTGTCTGTTAGCAAGGAGAATTTCAACTGCATCAAGCTCAGAGCCCCTTGTTCACAAAGTGTTAATACTCCACAGAGAATTCACTCAAGGCATAAAAGAGAAGTGGAGCTATAACTGTTTGTTACATGACATTCTATGCAATAATTCCTGTGCTGAAAGCATCATAGCATCACTGGTTTTATTGAGAAATCAGCCATTGTTTAGTCAGGGGCACCCGTTGTCTAAGGAAGACAGAATTTTTTTGCATTTAACTTCAATCATTACAGTGCCTTGACAATCAAAATCAAAGCTGACATTGTAGTGTGGTACTGAAGGAGTGCGGCACTGTCAGATGGTCAGTGCTGAGGGAGTGCCGCACTGTCGGATGGTCAGTGCTGAGGGAGTGCCGCACTGTCGGATGGTCAGGTCGTGGTGACCTTGATGCCCAACACCCGGTGCACCTTGGTGGTATTGCTATTGAACAGGAGCCTAATCTACTTGAATTCATCCTGAACAATCTACCTGTCTCAGTTGCAGGTTGTGCCTTTTGGCACCAGTGGTCACCACACAGTGTTTGTTCCACCTTCAACTTGCCAACACCTTGCCAGCCTATTGTGTGGCACTGTTTTTGTGACAGACAGGAAAGTTTCCAACCAGATCTCAGCTAAGCTGCTGTGTGCCATCAGCACTAGCAGGAAGCGAATTACTGTTATCTGTAGTCTTATGGTTCGACTCTTGTACAGTGTTCAGCACCATCTGGGACTCCTCAGATGTTAAAACAGCTTGTATTCAGCAAGGACTGGATAATATCCACTCAGGGCTAATGAGTGGCCAATTTGTACCTGACGTGTGCCAGGCAATGATTATCTCCAACAAGAATTGAGTCTAGCTTTGCCAGGTGCAGCTCTAACAACATTCAGAAATCTTGACAGCATCAGGATATAATACTTGACTAATGGGCATCATTTTATTACACTCCTGTTTGGGGAATCTCGGTGCATAAGTTGGTTGCTGCATATCCTACATTGGTGATCCTACAGTGGCACACAATTGGCTGTGGACAGTTTGGAGTACTGAAGACTCTGTATAAATAAGAGACAATATTTCCCGATTCAGAGCAGCATCAGAGACTCTGTACCCGTTCTGACTGTCTTTCAGTCTGTCCGGCTCTGTGACCCTGTTCCTGTTTTGTCTGTCTGGCTCTGTGACCCTGTACTCATTCTGTCTGTCCCTCGGTCTGTCTGGCTCTGTCACCCTGTACTCGTTCTGTCTGTCCCTCAGTGTGACCCTGTACCTGTTTTGTCTGTCCCACAGTTGCTGCATCAGCTGAAGCCTGGCGGTCGTATGGTTGTTCCAGTTGGTGCGAGCGGGGGGAGTCAGTCATTACAGCAGTTTGACAAAAAGTTAGATGGAACCATTATCCGCACCACACTGATGGGAGTGATATACGTGCCCCTGACGGATCGGGACAAGCAGCTAAGAGGGTACGTGTGCATAGTGGGAGGATGGGTTTAGGGAAGTGGGAGGGGCCTATTGTCTCACATCTTATGACCTGTACTGACCCGTATTTTTAACACTCGTCCCAGATCCCACACGGAATTTCCCCTGAGTGCCACTTGCTTGTAAACCTTGCCAGTTCAGACCCTGGTTTGCCTGGAGGTGCACCACGCGCAATCCTCAGCTCTGCCACAGGTGGCACTGCAACAGCCCTGAGCTGGGAACATGGGAACTTCAAACAGGGGGGAAGAGAGGCTCATTAGGGAATATTCATAGAATCCCTACAGCGTGGAAACAGGCCCTTCGGCCCAACAAGTCCACACTGACCCTTAGAGCATTCCACCCAGACCCATCCCCCTAAAACCCACCTAATCGACACATCCCTGAACTCTATGGGCAATTTCCCATGGCCAATCCACCTAACCTGCACATCTTCGGACCGTGGGAGGAAACCGGAGCACCCGGAGGAAACCCACGCAGAGCCGGGGAGAACATGCAAACTCCACACAGACAGTCGTCCGATGGTGGAATAGAACCCAGGTCTCTGGCGCTGTGAGGCAGCAGTGCTAACCACTGAGCCACGGGTGAGCGGGTAATTACTGTATGTGGGACAAGAGGATGTAATTAGTTTTTGGGGTATGAGAGGGTAATTAGTGTGTGTGGGGAGGGCAGTGAGAGGGGTGATTACTGTGTGGGGGATGCCAGAGGGACAATGAGTGTTTGAGGCAATTAAGAGGAGGGTAATAAGTGTGTGTGTGTGTGGAGGACCCTTTTGATGACACTGTGCCTGTCATGTTACAGGAATGACCTGTGAAGGAGTGAGGCAGATTCTCACCAATACCCTGTGGAGGAGCTGATTCTGTGCGGCTGACGAAGATTGTGTTTTGACCTCAGTATCACTCTCACTCGATGGAAATCAGTGCTGTGCCTTAGGTTTGGACTGTGGGGTTATTCTTGGATATCAGTGAACTGGTTTGAATGCTGGTGGTCAGTACTATTGACATGACTGTAGAACGGCCCACAGTGTGTCTCTGCGGTGTAGACGGAATCTACAATAAAACATCTGCTTGGCTCACGACAACCTGAGCACTTCCTGTAACAGAGCAGCTATCTTCCCTTCCTCCTCACCTCTGTGATACTGCCACCCCCCCCCCATCCTGGCACCACCCACATCCTCAGTTTCCCTCCCGTGCTGAAAGGATGAACTCCTGGGAGTTGCCAGTCTGCCCGAGGCACCTTGGGGGATGGCATCCAATTGCACATTGTGTCTGAAAGCAGGAACCCACTGACAGCTGTCTGACGTTGGAGCCGGTGTGGGACTGAGTTCAGGTTTCATGGGTAAAGCTCTCCTCAGTGAGCAGGCAGGGTTTTTTTTAAAAATTTGTTCATTGGATCTGCCTGACAGCTGTCTGACATTGGAGCCGGTGTGGGACTGAGTTCAGGTTTCATGGGTAAAGCTCTCCTCAGTGAGCAGGCAGGGTTTTTTAAAAAATTTGTTCATTGGATCTGCCCATCCCAAGTTGCCCTTGAAGGGACTGGTGAGCTGTTTTCTTGGGCTGCAGGTAGATCTATAATATCCCTTAGGGAGGGATTTCCAGGATTTTGACACAGTGACAGTGAAAGAACGGCGATATATTTCCAAGTCAGGATGGTGAGTGGCTTGGAGGGGAACTTGCAGGGGGTGGTGTTCCCGTGTATCTGCTGCCCTTGTCCTTCTAGATGGAAGTGGTCGTGGGTTTGGAAGCTGCTGTTGAAGGAGCCTTGGTGAGGTACACTGTGCCATAGCGCACACTGCTGCAAAGGAGTGTTGGATGTAACTCCATTAAGGACTGAGTGTAGGAGTTAACAGAGGTGAAAACCAGAATACCAGACGGTCCATGCAAATTTCAATTTTATTGTGCTTTTTTAAATTTTAGAATATGAATAATAGCGAGAGAATGACTTTGTCAGATTACAAAGGGAAAGTTTCACTATTTGAAACATAGGCTGAGGCAGCTGAGTTTGGGAGGGCCAGAGGGTGCAGTGTTGTTTCTCTGTAGATTGTCACAGAAATTCCACTGCCTGTTGTCTCCTCTCCTCAAGCCTCATTAAGACCGATGCAGGAGCACCAGGTAGGCTCCTTTCCTTCTGGCACATGCTCCCAGATGTGGTGCATTAGCTGTTTAACCTCACAGTTGCCTCAGCTGGGGAACGAAGCTCCCATCTTTGAGCTCAGGGCTCAGCTAACAAATTCACTTCCCTCATTTCTGTTTGGAAAAGATTTAGCAGTGAAGGTCATGCCAGTGTGACGTTGTAAGATGAACCTAATCCAGAGACAGAACAAGCCCCAGTCACAGGACATGAATTGACAGCAAAATTAACTAATAGCATTGACAAAAACAGCGTAATTAAATTGCCCAACTTTTAACTTACTGATTTGGATCAGATGGATTTGAAGTATCTGTCCAAATTTTTACTTTAGTCTCACTTTCAGTGCTGGAATAAAATGTTTTGGGAAAGATGGCAGCCTTTTGCAGTATTAGATCGTTGACAGATCAGTTACACACACGTCTGCAGACATGCAGGACAGAAGTAATGAAAAGAGTGAGCAGGAATAAAAGTGTAAGTTTTGGAGTGGAAGCCTTACCTAGTGGGGTACCACAAAGATCAGTGTTGAGGCCTGCCTTTTTCTTTTACAGTTGATGACAATGACTTTGATAAGGGGATCGATTACAGTCGATCCAGGCTTGTTGCAGATATAATTATGACGGGAAAGTAAGCAGCGAAGAGAACATAGAGATAACCAAGGGATAGAGACAGGTGATATGATTGGTCAGAGGTGTGGTCAATGAAGTGGGGTGAATGGATCCATTCTGTAAGGAAGGCGTTAAAGTTCATGTGCACAAAACACAAAGTTAACGTGCTGGTCCAGTAAGTAACTGGGATGTTGGCCCTTCGTACAGATCAATCGAAGTAGAAGAGAAAGCAAATCTCACTACAATGGTTTGGAGGTTTGGTGTATGCAGTTGTTAAGGTTCACTAGAATGATTCCTGAACTGCCCTAGCAGGAGAGATTGAGTACCATAGGCCTGTATTTCTGCGAGGTGATTGAAACAGCCAGAATTCTTAAGGTGATTAAATGGCTAGAAGCGGGGTATGTAGAACCAGAAGGTACAGTCTCAGAATAAAGCCTCTGCCACCTCTGACTGAAATAAGGAGGGATTCACTCAGAGGAAAGAGTGATGAGGCATTCAGTGGATAGGACACAAAGGGAACGGAGAGGTGGAATCAAGGAATCAGCTTTGCCCTTAGAGACTGGAGTAGATGAGTCAGCCATTCACTGTGTTCTAGGGTGACATGTTTCTGGGAATAAACACACACAAACACCTGTGAAGCTCAGCTCCATTCACTTTCTGATGAAATATATTACAGTCAGAGGGCGAGGCTGAGGCAGCCTCAAGTTACTTCTTCACAAAAAACTTCTTGAAAACATTCTTCTTCTTGCCGCTATCCATGTCTGTGTCCAGTGTGTAGTGCCATGTTGGCATTATGAAGTTGCTGGTTGGCCCTGTCCTCTCCGGTTCCCAGGTCCTGCGTCGGTTTTCATTCTCCTGCCGATTGCTGGAGAGGTCAGGCTGCCTTCTCTCCACACACAGATCGGGAGTACTGCCCAGGGTCTGTCTGCTACCTGACAGGCACAAAATTTGACACATTAGGAAAACTGGTCTCCTTTATTTACAGCTATAAGTAGCCCCAAGCTCAGTGAACAGTGACCCTCTCGGGAGGTGGTGTTGGGCATGACATTGAGTTCCCTCTTTCTCTGTGTAGTGTTCAGGAAGATACTGACACTGCAGTCAGGTGACAGCACTCCTGGGCCAAAGTGTGCATGCAGGCTCCTTGTAATCTGCTGTACATTTTCCACAGCCTTGGGAATCAGGTACTGATAACTGATTGCAGTTAAAACCTCTCAATGTGATTAATGCTCTGTGGGATACGAGAGATTGCACCAGGACCATCCTTTGCACTCTAGTGGGTCATAGCTCCCGCGCCTGGGTAGTTGGACTCTGATTCAGAGGGAGTTAGTGTGTTCCTGAGGTGCTATCAGCTGGTCAAACCAAGCAGGAAAGGGTTGCGATACGCGGCACAGTGCTGGTGTAACTGCAGTCTGGAGATTCATGGAGCGACGACAGCACTAACCTGCACTCAGGGCGTGACATGTTCGTTCCCCACCCTCTGGATACAGGTGGATGTTATAATAAGTGTGAGGAGGTTTTGGTGGAGGAGCTGACCATGACTGTGTCTCCCCTGTTGACTCACTCTCAGCACCGGAATCTGCAAAACATACAAAGACATGTAACATCAGTGGATGTGGGAGCAGAGTGTGGCGCTATCACTGCATTGTCTGCAGTGTGCAATCCATCTCTCACCATGCTACCCATAGTACAGGAACCATCTCTCACTGCACTGCCACATCAACCCGATAATTGTTCCAAATGCATATTGTAGATGCTGAGGTACCTCTTGTCCTGTTAGTTCCCAGCAGGGGGTCACTGTTTCTCCAGTTATTCCGTTGCCCCTCTGCTGTCTGTGCAGGCAGATTCGATGAGTTGTTTTGTTTCACTCTGAACGATGGTGTTCTCCTAAACATCATTGAAAACACAGGGAGATGATGTCACCTTCTGGGTTCATTTCACAATCTATGTTATCCCCATCAAACACTCCAAGGACAGGGACACCATGGGGCAATTAGATACCAAGCAAAGCTCCTTCTACACGGGCCCCCCAGCAAACACTCTGTTAAACTGAAAATAAACCTTTTCTAGTTTAAAATGAGAAACAAATAGAAAGTAAAATCCCCTTGACACTGTTCCAATCAAACACTCCCAAGACAGGGACAATATGGAGTTAGATACAGAGTAAAGCTTCCTGTACACTGTCTCCATCAAACACTTCCAAGACACCAGGGGAAGAATTAGTTCTGGCCTGGGCCTTAGTTCTCCACTGAAAATCTTAAATGAATATATTAAACAATAATGCAAAGGACAAAAGTCACTGTGGAAGATTTCGTTTGTTTTGCTTTTATTTGAAATATCTCGTCCGAAATAAGACTTTACTTCATGATGAAAAGTAATGGATGACAATTGCTCAGAAACCAGTTCACGTAGAAAAGATTTGCTGAGCACCCGCTGATGATCAGAGGCAGTGATGGGAGTGGTTGGCAACAGGCCTTTTGAATCTGGTCATTGAGATTTATAACAGAAATAGTTGGCACAAATTTTCAGAAATAATGTGGCAACAGGGGTTTAGGATTTACAGACAGGAAGTGTCTGCTGACACGAGCTCATGACCAATATGTAGAAAAATGTTATCACTCATGAGTGAAACTCAGTGACCATAAACAACAATGTCCAAACAGGCTATCAGTTGCACATTCCAAAATGTGAGAGTCTAGTTGGATCTGGGACTATGCTCCTTAACAGGACACCCACTATAATGCAGAGCATTCTTCCAGCTCTGAAGAAGAGTCACCAGACTCGAAGCGTTAACTCTGCTTTCTCTCCACAAATGCTAGCAGACCTGCTGAGTTTCACCAGCAATTTCTGTTTTTGTTGCATTCTCCCAGTCCTCAGTTTCAAGCACTCCCCGTTCTTTGTTCCCTTTCCCTCAGGGGTTCATCATACCTGGGAAGTAAATCCTTGTTGCTTCCAGGTTTCTCCTTCTTTGTAGGGCTTCCGGCCGTGAGCTGGGATTTGGTCATGAATGGGTCCCTTCAGAGAAAGGAACAGTGTTAATGTGAGATCCCAGGGGACCCAGCCAGTCAATAAGACGATCACTTGGTGCAGTGTTTCCTCTTGTCATCAGCAGTTGGGCTTGGACGATTAATGTGAGGTTCAGAATATAGGAGTAGAGAGGAAAGACTAAGAGGATAAAAAGGAACAAACTGTGCTCAAGGACAACAGCTCAGAGAGCAGAAAACCAAGGTGGATCTAGAGCCCAGGGAGGGAGCAGGGAGCGAGAGAGAAAGGAAACCAGGGGAAACAGCAGGGACTGAGTGAGGAAACCAGGGGGAAGGAGCACACTGATTTCACCACATTGATGAATTGTCAGATGTTACTCTCCTGTGTGGTTTTGAACTTGACTTTCTCTACCTTTGAGCCTGAACAATAAGCAAAAACTCCAGAGTATTTAAAGATCATCAGACTGTACCACCAGAATGTGGTGTGGGCTCCAGCCAGGAGGCTAACAGTTGGCCTCAATGATTCTGGGAAGATGTAAACAGCGTGGCTTTTCTGCATGATAGTTAACGTGCTCACATTTACCTGTACATACGTGTGTGTGTGGGTGTGCGTTAGCCATGGGAAATACAAGGTGGGCAATGGGTCTGTGAATGATGCTCTTTGGAGGGTCAATTGTGGACTTTTTGGGCCGAAGGGCCTGTTTCTATGGGATTCTATGAAAAGGGTTATCTATTTACCTGGAGTGTTGTGGCGACTGTGAAGGAGACGTATTGACAGATGTCAAGTTCATTTCATCAGAACCTGGAAAACAGCACAGAAGAGTCAATATTTACCTGCAGAAACCTGAGATTTGTAACATTAAATCATAGAAAACAGAAATTAGGAGGAGTAGGCCATTCAGCCCTTCAAACCTTCTCTGCTGTTCAATCTGATCATGGTTGATCATCCAGCTCAGTCCCCTGTTTCTGCTTTCTCCCCAAACCTTTGATCCCTTTAGCCCTAAGAACTAGATGTAATTTCTTCCTTAAAAACATTCAAGGTTTCGGCCTCAACCACTTTCTGTGGTAGCAAATTGCACAGACTCTGCTTGCTGGGTGAAGACATTTCTCCTCAGCTCAGTCTTAAATGGCCTACCCTGTATTCTTAAACTGCTTCTGAACTCTTTGGTCATTGGGAATAACCTTCCTGCAACTGACTGGTCTCGTCCTGATTTTATAGGTTTCTATGAGATCCAACCTCCCCACCCCAGCTCATTTTTCTAAACTCCAGTGAATATAATCCAAACTGAACCAGTCTCTCTGCACACATTGATTGCTGGGATGACAGGTTCAGTCTGGTAAACCT